ACCACATCTTTTTACGAATGAAAAATTTCACAAAGAAGCCACTCGCATAAATTTGCAAATTTGCATAAATGCAAAAAATGGCACTTAACACCGACATATGTACACACAAATATTTGGTCGCAGTTTGTAAATAAAAAGCATCTTGAAGTAACAGAAAATATGCAATAAAAAGTATTGTAAAGTCAATACATGCAGTTTTTACTGTTGCTGTCTGGCAACAATAACGGTCATCGATCATGTTTTGCTGCATGAAAACAAAAGTAACTGTCATTTAATATTTTTTTCAAGAGCTGATAGTTTTTAAGGCTGGGTTGGGTGTATGCAGGCAGGCAGTTGAATGCAATTTTAGTAGTGTTGTTGTTGTAGTAGTTTATTTTGAGTTTAGGTGAAATATAGTATGTGGGTTATGAACATTAGACATATATATTTTTTTAATATATTTTAGCTTTATTACTATTATTAATAACAAGAAGGTGATTAGTCTAAAAAATGTTGTGTTTCTTAAATATTTCAAGGACTCTGTACAGTCCATAGTACTGATCACAAATCAGTAGATAAACGAGACAAAACTCTGATTTTATTCCATAAAGCCTCGTGTATAGATCTTCTGTTATCTGTAGGAATAATTCTTCTATTTTCGTAAGTAACACTAGAGAAAATATTATTCTAAATATACTCTAATATATTTAGAAATCTTTTACCTTCATTTTTTTTAATTTCTTGCTTTTTATCTGGAAGTTTTGAAGATTCTTCATTCAATGTAAGCAATTTACAAGCAGTTTTCATATATTACGTTCCCCAGACATTCGATTCCAGCGCTATATTTTTATCCGCCCAAAGACTGTTAATTTAAGAGCATTCCTCATAATAATTTCAATGGAACCCTGGTATTTTCGAAAGATACTCATGTGTGTTGGTAGCAGTTCATGATTCCTTCCTATAAATAATGTATATCGTCGCATATTCTTAAACCAATTTATTAAAAAAAAAATTAATAGAGTTTTTTACGCATTTCGAATATACTAACTCTCCTTTATACCAACCAAGCACAGTCTATTTGAACCCATTCAAGAATGTTTTTATTCAATATAGGATGCAAATCCTTGGAATTCACTTGTTGGCACACACAATCCAGCCATTTTCAAGCAATAAAATTTGAATGTTAATGAAGCATCAAGAACTTTGACAAAATGAAACAAGAAATGAGCTAAAAATTAAGGTTGCCAAAAAAAATTTCAAAACAAGCCTAAATAATATTTAAATATATTCAAATCCAAGTCAGATAAGAACAATCACAGGACACACCAAAAACTGCTCCAAAAAAAAAAAAAACTGAGACACCCAACTGCATACGCTTCACAAAATTCACATTGCAACGCTCTCACACGCCCGTGGGCTTGCCTTTCTATTTATCTATTTATTTTATTTCATTTTTATGCATATTTAATATTCTTTTGATACGCTTTCCTTTGCTTTGCTGCTACAAAATGGAAACAATATTTATTTTGCATGTGAATGAGATTTTGAGTGCTGCCGCTGCTCCTTGTTCCCATTTATTTGTAACCAACTAACCTTTCTCAAGCAAGTTTAACACACACACACCTATGCACTTATAGATACACACACATATATATTATATAGCAGCATATATGCATTAATGCATATGGTTTTACATTGCATTTATTTATATTAGATTTTCTACGGCACAACGCCCTTAATATATTGGCGCACGACATTGTCACATATGCATATAAATATTTTATTTTTATTTGTAATATTATTTTTTCTTAGACCTCAGCTCGATCTCTTGTTATATTGCGGCTTTTTACTTATTTATTGAATTTGTATCGTGTTTATATGCCGATGCTGGTGTTGTTTGCATAAGTTCATAGGTAACTACTGTAGGTAAGGCAAAAAAAATGGTCACGTGATATATATTAATCTAAATGAGAAAATAAAGTCGATACCTTACAGCGAGACAGAATAAAGAAGCAGTGACCAGCACGAAAAAATCAGCAGATAGTTATTGGTTTGGGCTGTGACAGTTGGTTGGCATAACAAATAGTGGTTGAAGTAGAAAACGTAATATTATCATGAATTAAAAAACCGCTGAAACTTCTCGCATGTATTCCAGCAGTAGATCTATGTTACTACCGAATCTCTTACAAAGGAATTATGCATCCTTCAACAATCTTAATATGTAGAAAAGACTGGAGATCGGCCAGTTTAATTGTGACTATTAATTGAAAATATTTCTAATGTCAAAATCATATTTTTGTATGAGAAAATTTTTTATTTGACAAGATATCTTCACGAGTTTTGGCATCAATAACTCTCGAAGACAACGCTTTAATCTCAGAATATATTGTTCAGATCGTACCACGCTGGCATATAGCTGCCATACATAGTGATCAATCAAAATCAAGTTCTTGTATGGAAACTTTTTTATTTGACCAGATATCTTCGCGAGATTTGGCATGAATTATTATCTGAAACAGCGCTTTAATATTAGATATTGTTGAGATCGAACCACTGTAGCATATACACCTGTGAAGGGTATTATAGCTTCGGTGCAGGTGAAGTTAACGCTCTTTCTTGTTACTGGTAATGAAACTTTTTGTCGATTGAGAAAGCATGGTAGGTATTCTGGAGGCACTCGAGCTAAGTAAGCCTAACTGATTATATAATATTATATTTTCAAATAAAGATAATATTCTATTCAGCTATTAAACGGGCTGTATCGGCTGTGGCTGCATAAGTTGAGATACTTATGAGAAAAACATGTTGCTACATTATTAATCCAGCGGCTCAGAGTAAAATCATTCAAAATTAGGTTAACGGGGGTTTGAAATGCCTAAGCATACAATACGAGTATATAAATCACAAAATTGAATACGGTCTTATTATCACAGCGGCAATAAAACTTTAGACGTACGTAATCTTTGTTTCCATTAAAGAAAAGATTTAGACTTGAGGCTACAATATAACGTATTGTGCTTCCGCTATGATCAACACTCAACAAACACCTTCTCATTCCACCAAATATATCCTTTAAGTCATAAATAACTTTAGTCATTATTATTTAAGAAATCTCAGTATCCCAACTACTAAATTTAGACAGCGCAAAGCAACAAATCATTGCCACTTCAAAGCTATTTTGCATAAACGAGCAGTTAAGTGAGCTGTACGTACACACAACCAAAATGAAAACCAAAAAAAATACTACTTTTCAACAATTCACCAGAGACAATTCGTCTTGCCATACCTATATGCAGCACCACTGACCCATTTTCCTTTCATACGACAGGCACAAAGAAAGAATTGCATATCACTAAATGGTTTTCCTTTCTGTCCATTATTTGACACATTTACAGCTACGTTTATGATGCATCACAGTCGACAACGCGATAAAAATAAATAATAAAAGTAAAAAAAATTAATATATAAAAAACTGCAAGATTTTACAACTTCTTTTCGCCATTCACCCAATTGATGTTGGCGCATGCGCAACCACGGCCAAGCAACAGCGCGCAAGTACAAGCTGCAATGCATTGTTCGCCTTTGTTCTTGTTATTCTTGTTGCTGTTGACCATTGTTAAAGTGAAATGTGGCTGAAATATATGGAGCAGTTAAGTATTTGGCAATGCGCGATATGTCAAAAATGCCAGTCCGCCGATTTTGCAACGCACAACGTCGCATTGTGCGCCAAGTATTGTGGTAATACCATGTGGCTTGCATGTCTGTACAGGCGACAGTTCGTGCGCCTGTCGATTATGACCAAATTATAATGAGTACAAGCATACTGGATCGCCTGGATAGCCGTGTACGAAACGACCGTGGCTGCATGTAGCACATACAAACAGCTTTTACGTGTAAAGCAGGTCACTTTTTGTTGTTGTCCTGCAAAGTTTTATTTTTAATATTATTTTTTTTTTGTTGTGTTTACTTCCTTGACAATATTTTTTAGTTTGGCTACTTGTTGGGAGCCTTCCATTTCGCCCTCGGCTGTGTTTTATGGGCGCGCATGCGCGCGCATTTGTCCCAATTTCGCTAATTTTATTTTTACAATATGGGGATTTCTTCTGCGAAATTTGCACTGCCGTGAAATTGATATATTCTTTTATATATAAAGTGTATTTATCATATTTTTGGCTTAATTTTACTTACTTTGTTGCGTTGCCTTGCGTGCACTTGGCTCTACGCCACCATATTATTAAGCTATTTTATTGGGTCACAAATGTGTTGATAGTCGCGTTGCAGTGACGGCATGACAAATGCGCTTTAATTTATTAAAGACCGAGAATGCAGCTCACTTTGTCGAAAAAGCGAGATAAGTGTAAACGTTTAAAGTTATCACTCAACGGTACTCTGCACTTGTTGTTAAAAAAAATACTAAAAAATAAGTCAATAAATATATATATAATGATTACAATCTAAATGTTTATAAGCATTTATTGGTTCTTTGCAACATGTTTATCAACCTAAAATGTTGCTTAGTAATTCACTTTAACATGTTGCTAAAGTTGTTTTGCCCACAATATAAAAATATATATATGACTCCGCTCCATCGCTCTTCGCTCAAACAAATCATAGCCCACCTTATATTCACCACACTACAGCATAATTGCTGCTAGCAACATTAAGCAACATGCTGCGGCAACATACTTCACTTACTACACTCTACAGCTGCAAAATACACCACACACCTTGAACGCTCAATACACTACCTTTCTCCAGCATTGCGCTCTCATCGAACACTCTCTCTTTCTCTCTCACCTGCCGGTAAACTTCAACTTCACTTTCGCTCAACAACATTCACTAATCAAACCAGATCAGTTTCTGATGCTTGACTGCCTAGTCACAGGCACACTGCACATATGTATGTGTGTGTAATAATGCTTCCGCTTGCCTGCTTGTCTGCCGGTTCGACAGTGATCGAAGACGGCAGCAGACAATGTTGCTTCGCGCGAGTTGCACGGGCTATATCGCTCGCCGCAAATGCTTTACCGCCACCACCACTTCAATGGCGATCGGCCAACTAACTCCGTTCTGCCTGTGCCGGTGCTGCATCATTCCGTTGTTGCATTTCCACTTGTACACGTGTGGCATGCGGCATTTCACCGGTAGCTCGAGCTAAAAATAATTTTGTTGCATGCATTTGTTCGTGCGTTGCACTTTCGGCGTGTTAGCGGTGCGCAAAGTGATTGACAGATAGGCGTGTTGACTCTGAAAATTTAACGGTTGCAATTTAAATGTTTAAGTGTATTAATTGAAATCAAGTGTAATTGACTGTTAAAGTATGTTTTCGGTGATCAAAAAAGTTAAATGTTTATAAATAAAGATTAATCAATAAACTTTATAATAAATTAAGCGCTTTTGCTTCATTTGTGTAATCTGCAAACGAAGCTTAAAGTGGACTGATTAAAAATAAAAAGCACGTGAATCGATCAATGAAAATCACTGCTGATCTTGCGCTATCACTATACTACAATTTCTAACTTTGATTCTAGTGAATAAATAGTGAATTCAGTTTCGATTTACTTGACTGCTTTTGAAGTGAATCGAAAACACCAGAAGTGCATAAAATTATAGGCAATTCCAAATATTGTCGTTCAGTGAGCGTGTCAATTTGTATGCCCAGCAAAGTCCGCTCTGGTAACACCTTCTTGATTTAAAATAAAACGCAGCAAAATGAGAGATCGTAAGTTTTTAAAACAATAATTTTTTATTATATAAAATTTTTACTTACCTAGAATTTGTATTGTCATTGATCGCCGAAGTTAAAATTTGTAATTCAAAAATACATATTTTTGTTTGTCTAGAAATATATTGACCTCAACTCTTTATAAAACTATCAAGAACAAATATTGGTCGTCAGATGACTGACTACTTGCCTATATTCAAATCAAAAAATATTATATATTATAGTTTATGTTAGAACCGTATGCTATAATCAGTTCTTTCCCACTGAGTTTTAAGACCAAATCGAAAGTAACTGATCTAAGATCATCGATCACTTAGCTACAGATATATCAACCCCTACCTTCCAATCTAATGCCGCAATTGTTTTTTCCAATATCTATAGTTTATCTTACCATAAACCAAAAATTTCACACTGACGATCAGTAAACGATCTTGTTTGCAATTTTTATAGGCTGCGCTCACCAGGAATGCAGACAGCAAACAAATTCGATGGTAAAGTCTCTTCGGCAAATCTTGAGTGATAACTACAAAGAAAAAAGTAAATATAGCACCATGAAGCAAACAGTTAAACCGTGGCGTAACGATCAGTGATCGCAGAGCAAACAGGACACTTTAAATAAAAAAAATAAATTGTAGTTTGAAGCTGGTTAAAAGTTTGGTTATCTGATTTCAATATAATATGGTATAACCGTATGAACACTAATATCGGTTAGTTGTTTAAATAGGTTGGCGACCACAATGCGTCTTTATATGTTAATTAGAAAAATTAATATACAAGATACTGGCGTGTATTCGCTAATTAGAAAAATCTAGAAGGGTTGAAATTTTGAAAAACTGGAGATATTATTACAGTAAAGGTCAACAAGTATTCGAGTATTTTATTAAAACGTGATCATGACTTTACATAGACTGATCGTGTTAGGTACTAAAATGTTGGGAGAAGATCACTTCTATTATTATCTTTAAGTGAACTACGATGGGTTTTTATTAAAGTACAGTAACCAATTTAAACTTTTTTTTATATGCTATGCATTCAAAATTTCAGAAGATCACTTGATAATAAGTAGTTTAATGAAGTGTTAGAATATTTGGTTTTTTGAGTGAAAACTTATTATATTCTTGAGTTTTTAAGCACTTTTTACATTTCAGTAAGTAATTATTTAGGTAGAACCATCGCTAAACTCTCACTCGTTATATCTGATCTTGTTGCGAGATCGGAAAATACAGATTTCAAGGCTGATCTCTCTAATTTTATTTCGTATTTTAAACTGTAACCACTTCACTTTACCAACAAAATTTACAAATTAAACTTGGGTATGAAAATAGTTAAAATGATGGTAAATGATCAGTTATCTTGTTGCTCACCGTTCAAGTGCTTGTTTATTGTTTCAGTGCAAATTACCTACTTAGTAATATTGTCTGTAGGATACTATGTTAGTCACGTATACAATATCACTTCATTGACTAAAGTGTATAAGTGTGAGCTTCGAGAACATAAAAGGATCGTGTTAAACTCACTTGCATTATGTGCGTGTGGAAAATTAGTGCAAACAACCCTTTTGTTATACTTAGCAGACCTCTCTTTAAGTTGGAACCATATTACGGTTATGGATAAGTATGTTATATAATATTTGCTTATGACGCAGACATACCAAACAAATTTACTCAGCAAATATTGAGCACTTGAGGTAGTTTGAAGTAGTTATCGATGTGTGAGCCGGACTCGAGCAAATATTTGTAAAGGTGAAGCGAAAATAAACCAAAATATATATATGTATATACATAGGTAATAATTAAATAGCGATTTTCGGTTGCTTATGAATTTTGCATTTCTTTGAGATTTTTTCTTCTTCTTCGTTTTTTTTTTTTTTTTTTTTTTTGTACCGAAATTCGATATTGTTACCAATATTGCTCTTTCGTTATTGGTTTTTGCCACAATTTTCGGTTTTGTTTTGATTTTTGGGTATTTTTAGGCATGTGACGCATGTCGCATGGAATTCGAGATTATGCAACATTGGTCAGCAACAAAAGATCGGTTGGAGAAAAGCAATTAAATGAACAAAAACCGTTAAATTTTTACTCAATGCTTATAAAATGAGCGTCAAATGAGAAAACGAATAAAAAAACAACAAATTATACACGCAGGAAATAAATGGATTGTTTTTGTGCAGCCTTTTTTGTAGCAAATCTGCAGAAAAAAGTGCGAAAACAATTGATGAGTGGCACTTGAAAGTGTTACTTTCAACAAGCCATAAAAGCAACAACCAATGAGTGGCGATTATGAAAATCATAGAAGAAACACAGACTAACGTGCATACATATACACCCGCAATAAAGCAATTGAAATGTCATTGCACAAAGCCAAAGCCTACAAGGCACTATAATAACAACAAAAACAAACAACCGTAAACAAAATTTAAAAAGAAACGACGAAGAAAATATTGAAGGAAAAAAATTGAAGAAAAATTTGAAAAAAAAAGTTGAAAATAAAAACTGAGAAAAAACCACTAAACGCTTAACAAAGCCAAGGTGACCAGACTATGACCGAACGTCAGGTAATTTAAAGGCGAGCAACTGTCTAAGCGGCAACCAAAGCAGGCATGCCGCTAACGAGCGCTCACACACGTGATTGTTGTTGTTGCATTCCGGATATGAGTGCGGGTTTTTTGGGTTCAAGCAACAGCTGGCCACAAAATGTGTGGAAGTGAGGCGTTGCTTTGTTTGTTGTTGTTGTTGACTTTTTGTTATTTGCTTAACAGCCAATCGACGGTCATAAAAATATGATTAAGCGCGCATGCGTGCCACAAGCTACCTACAACAACAACAACAGCCACATATGGTGCTTATATGAAAATGCAGGTCATACACAGCCTATAAATGAATATGTGTAAGAGGAAATTTTTTATGAAAAACAAATAGTGACAAAAAAATACAACAAACACTGCGTAGTCAGTTTTTCTTCGCTGGCGGCAAAAATGACATAAAAGTCATAATCATTGATCAAATAGCGGTTGCTTGGTGATCAAGCGATCGCGCAACTTTGATGACAAAGAAAGGATGGCAGGCAAGACAGTTAGACTTTAAA